AGGTGTTAATTCGCGTGATTGCTCGCAGATGGATGAGCCGAGCAACGTTTCAGGTTCATGTCTTGCATGCTGCATCTTCCGGCTCGAGGACACCTTGATGCTACTGCTGTGTGACGCATGTCACCTGGAGCGCAGTCAATTAAGACGGATTCACATTCATCAGGACTCACAATTTTTGATTGAGAAGTTGCTGCATGGGGATTTATGGTGATTCACATTCACGATTGTGATCATTTCATTCAAGGGTGGACACGCGCGCGCGAGCGTGTTTGTAATCGAGGGTGGAAGGATGGCGTAGCCCGCGGAAATTGTAAACGAGTCACGAGTGCAAAGCTTGCTCTTGATGATTTTGCTATGCCAGGCGCGCGGGCGATCGAATCTGAATGAGGGGCCCGTCTTCAAGTTAGGCGCGCTCAGTTCCAAAGCAAGTCACAGTTTGATCGAGCACAAGATCCGCTTCTCCTGCTTCGAACCGATCCATGCAGCCGTTGCATATGGGTCGCGCCTTTGCCAGGAAAACGGCGGCGCGTCAGCCTTGTGCTGATGACAAGGTACACAATTCAACATGGCGCCCGCATGTATGGGACTCGCTAATGCTGTAGAGTGACTGATTGTACTGCATGCTGTGCTGTGCTAGCTGCTTGCTTGCGCCTTGCAGCGGTTCGGTTACAGCTTCTGCTCTGCTGATTGTGTACTCGTTGAGCTAGCAGCCGCAATCATGCACAGTTTCGTGTATCGACAACGAGCTCTGCGCTGCCACCTCTGCGAAGCGTACTGGCAATTTACTTTGGGAGTCGACCAGCCTGAGATGTGCGAATGGAATTTTCAAACTCAAAGCTCGAAATGAGGGGGGCCTCTCAGCGCCAGCAGGAGTGCGCATGCGCCTCCTAAGTTGGGGTGTGCCGCCGCGTAGATCACGCGCACTCACGACTCTTGCTTACCTTGCTGCTGATGGTGGACACACCCTTTCTTCCCTCGCGTTCCTGCGCTGAGCAGTAGCGTATGCTGCAGCAGGTTTCGGCGCGGATTGCACTTGCAAAGCACGCATAATAAGCACAGCCGTTTTGAGGGTCAAATGCAGTGAGGGCACACCGCCGCGATTCACCTGCATGCAAGCAGATGCATCTGCTGCGCGGGCGGACTCAGCTAGACTATTTTGGATGCGCCATCCACGCCCTGCATTGGTGATTTACCATTCATTTTATTCGTGATTCGCTATTACCCATGTGTGTATGAATAACGGTCGGCTGACCAGCAAATCTTGAATCAATGTGCTCCTCACAATTCCCACTCTTCGCAATCAGCATTTCCACAACATCATTCACATCGTCAAGGGTCACGCCAAGCCACCTCGTCTTGGCTCGACTCGTCAAACTCATTTGAAATCGGGCGTGCTGTTCAGCCTCCCTGCCTACGAACTGCGCGTCTGCCTGCGGTACGTGGTGCGCGCCCGTTCTATAGTGCTTTGCCGGCTCTACACGACCTGCACGGCAACGGCAACGGCTAGGCCGACCGGCTCGTGAACCGTTGCCTCGACAACACCTACATACCACGGGCTCCTCACGACGACCGGCTGCATCGCACCTCCTTGACTTTGCAAGAGCGGCGCCGAAATCTCTCCACCGCGTTCTCTCGGCTTTTCGGACTGGTCATTGGATTGCATCCATCTCCTCATTCCGCTCAGCAAGCGTTGTCAGTGTGACCACGCAGGCACGTACCGCTCAGTTGCCAGTCCTTGCTTTTCGCCTACCTCGCAACGATAGAGGAACGCCTTAGTTGCACCTTGTTCGACAGTCCACCGCCGCCCTGCCATCTTTCGCTGCGCTGCATTCCAGTCGCACACGATCAATCGCTCCAGTAGTCATCTGTTGCACCAAGCGAAGCCCTCATCGTGATACTCCCGCCAAGTCGTCTAGTAGAGATTGGGTCCCGGGCGTCTTCCCACTGCCATCACACCTTACGACCTTCCAAGCCGTCAATTGGGTGTGCTCACCTTGGCGAGCAGCTTCAGTACCTGTGGGGGAGACGTTTGACTTTTTGACGCTGGCGAGCTCGGCCAGAGCATACAAAAGCTGGGCGGTCGAATTACATCCAAGGAACATCGTACAGGCTTCTGCTGGACCGGTAGACGTTTATTCTGTGAGTGGAATTCTGCCTTCGATTTCTCGAGCCACAAACCTGCTCGCTCTTCATCTACGAGCACGAGTCTCCATCGGAGACGGTCTGCCCTCAAGAACCCGGCTTTGTATGCGTCTCTGGGCAGCCCGGATCACTTGCTCTTCGAAGTCTCATTCACCAAGCTTACACTTCGTCTGCTCTCGTTTCTCTTTCGCTTTCATCAGCCCATCGATCTGCCCGCCATGTCCGCGCAGGAGGTGGCGGCGGGCAATCCGCTCTCCCTTGCGCTCACGTCGCCAGCCTCGAGTCCGCTGCGCGAGAGAAGTCATAGCGCCCTTTTGGATGCTCCAGCCGACCACAGTCCTACTCGTCGGCTATCGGACTCCGCAGCCATCGTTGGGGCGGCAACATCACCCACAACGCCCAGCGCTGCTACCTTGCCTAGAAACCATTCAAAAGCTGGATCAGAAGAGCTGCGTCGATGGGCTGCTGAGGCTATGGCACAACGTCCCAATATAGCTCATCCCAATCCGCTGATCGACACAAGTTCCACGAACGAAGCTGCTTCAACTTCCGACCCTCTTGTCATCAAGCCTTCTGCAAGCCGACCTGAGTCGCCTGCTCTTGGAGGCCGATGGCATGGGAGCAGCGAGATCGGAGGTGCGACTCGTCCTCTCTCCATGCATGTGGACTCTGTCACTTCATCTCACGATGACGCTCGACCCACTTCCTACCAATTTCCCGATCCCCGTCCCCCTTCCAGCACAACGAGCTCAACAGCAATGGTGTCGAACGCTTCTCACGTGGACGAGTCGCTCGGCTTCACCAGAACGTCTTCACTCGGTAGGCGCTCGCAATGGGTTCTGCCAAGAGATGAGTCTGCTGTCGTCTTGCAAGTCGATGAGACCGGCCGTCGAGCAAGCTCACCGCACATCGATCCACCGAAGACTTCAGGTGGCCGGCGGACGGCTTACGTCGACGTTCCCGTCTCGAATGGTCGCGATGGCACGAGACGCTCACCCCTAGCACCTATCCTCACTGCCGGTCGACCACGCGAGCCTGCGACGCAGCAAGCTCAATCGGTGTCACACGAAGTCTCAGCCAATAGGCTTGCTCTGGCGAGCCATGCACAGCCTTCCAGTAGACTTAGGCCGGACAGTCCAATTGCTGAGGCACCTCAAAGTGATGACGAGGACCCCCCTCTCGGAACGCCGGTCGACGGCTACCTTGCAAACGCGATGAGCACCAGCAGCGTGCGACGAGGTTCGGTTCGACCTGGCGATACACCACCGTCTGATACATTGAGCGATCTTCCTGCAGCCAGGAGTGGCATCAATTTTGGAGTAGGCGCTATTGGCGCAAGCGCTGAGGCGGCTGGACCACTAAGTCAGCTTGGCCTTCGACGAGGCAGTGCATCGGATGCTGCCGGCAAGCCGTCGCTGCGTCTCGTCCCATCTCTCAAGCGCGAAGCTGTAGCAACACCTCATGCTGGTCACGAAGCGCCACAACTTTCACATTCGACGCTGGTCAGCCTTGGGGAAGTGGAAGGAATCAGCCCACCCATCCCCCTCAGTGCACTTTCGGCCACCGGACCGAGCCTTCCCATTGGCTCCACCAGCATCGACGCCATCAGCGTCGTGAGTCAAGGGCTGGAAATGGGCCTTGGTGTCCACATGGCAGCGGCGGCCCTCAACACTTGTCTACCCGGTGCTTCAACCGGATTTGCGAGTCTAGCTGAGCCCCGCTTTGCTCGAATGAGCGTTGCAAGTAGCGGGATTGGAATGCCATCGGCAGCCACAGTCGCCGCGAGCGCACTGCCCTCAGAAATGAGCAGCATGGGCTTGAGCTTCAAGGTCACCGATGCTCAGGTTTCCGCGGCAGATACTCTTACCGGACTCCGAGACAGTCGTCGAGGCCCTAAGTCAGACCATGCTTCCATTGCCAATGGCAGTAGTGAAGACAAGCCGTTGAGCAAGATTGCAGAGGCCGATCTCGGACGCAGGCGCACGACTGGCAACCTTGGAGCGCGCACCCGTGGCGGACCTGCCAACCATCCAAACGTCACCTTCAGCGTGGACACTCTACCTCATCGACGCGCTGGTACACTCGACCACACCTCGGCCTCGGCAAGCTCTCGCCAGATGCCCGACATGTATGCTTACGCAGGCGGAAGTCCGGCGCTCGGAGGAACGACACTTTATGGCACGAACAGCAAAGGATCTGCGACTCATCCTTCCATTCCTGAGAATGATGCCGTGTATCTCCCATTCGGCGCAGTGTACAGCAGCCAGAGCAGCTCCCACAGCACCAGCGGGCACGCAGGTCTCACGTCAGCTCAAGACAGCACTCAAGCAGATACGCCATCGCTCGGGCAAAAAGCAATTCTATCTCCCGACGCCAATTCTCGCGGATCGTATCTTGGCGACACTAGTGTGGCTGGCCAGGCTCGAGAAAGTGGGCAGGATCCAACCGGGCCACGTTTGAATGCACCGATTGGGGCTGCAGCGCTTGCGAATAGCATCGGAGGAGGTGGGCACTTTGGACCACAAGTTCGCGAGAAGCTCATGGAGGTCCTGCAGACCATCGTGGGACAGGTTCCACTCTCTGGTGAAGACGGAGAGACAATTCACATTGCGGAATACGGCAGCTTAAATTCCCGTTCCGCGCCGTTGCTGCGCGATGTCATATCGATGTTCGCACAGCGCGCTTACGAAAGTCTGGCATATCGAGCATCAGCGCAAGGAGCCAGCCATCACAGCACGCTCTCTTCCCAATCGAGCCGCCTCGCCGACGACGGAAGCTACTTTGGCGGTGTTGATGTGGCCCAGCTCGGCGCACCGACAGTCGTCGCAGAGAGTATCGATCTCCAGCCTTCGACTTTGGCCTTTTCCATCACACACGAGGATGCGAGCTCTGATTTCCGCACTCTGGCACAAGTGTTGGAATCGGGAGAGTCGTACTTGGACAATGCTTGGCAAGCGTCGCACAGGCCGCCTCTTCAGAATAGCATTTTCAACGCTTATGTGGCACGATCCTTCGCTTCCCGCGTTGCTCCTCCCAAGACGATGCACATGGTACGTACAATGAGGTGGACTGTGATACATACTGGCCAATCACTGACACGACTTCTCTTGCTTGCTTCTTAAGGGCTTCTCATTGATGGACCTGCACTGGCTGCACACCCCACGCAACTCGGCAGTGTCACTTGCGACGACGGCACACGCGGAACTGACGGC